TTAAAGGGGGGGTTGAGGAAAAAACACAACACACCGCGCCTGCGGTGGTCAACACCCTCCCCTCCCCCCCCCCCCGGGCGGCCATCAAGTATCCGCACAAGTCCCTAGTTAAATTATTTTGTTTAGGAATGAAGTGAAATATTTGACAGCTTTCATAGTAGGTAGGTGAAAGTAATTTGTTAGAAGTGTAAAAAAAAATCTTTATAGTCTATCTATTAGTCATATTTTATATTAATTAGATTAGAAATGGATAAACCCAATACTGATATTATTAAAAGGATTTAAAAAAGTTAAAAAATGTGTAAAAAGTTAAAGAATACACAGAGCCAATTGTTTTATGTATATACATATACGTACATTAGAAACCGATGTTTGTTTAAATTTAAAAAAAAATGCAACTTTGATGATGATTGATAACGCTGCATGACCGTCTGAGTAGCAAATATGTTCACATTAGGCCCGGTTTCCACCAAAGCAGAGAGGAGGGGACATGAGAGTTTGAATAAACCCATCCGATTTCGTTACTTCCACATCTCTTCTCCGCTTAGCTTCGGTGGAAATGGATCAAGCGAAGAAGAGATGTCTCATTTTTCTACAGAATTTTGTACGGCGAGCGAGCAAGCGGCGCGGCAGAGCGGAGAAGTGTCTAGTAGGGCGTAAAAATTATTCCTTGTTTTTTTGAAAACTTTCATTATTATAAAAAATTTTACTGGAAAAGAGGCATTCCATCTTAGTCCTCACTGGTAACGCATCTGCATTTTGATTCGTAATCGAGGATAGACGCAGATCTCTATGGGCCACAGCAACCACTTACCATCAGATGGACTGTGTACTCGTTTGTCACCCTATCCTATAAAATAAAATAAAAATAAATAAAATCAAACTCTTGAAACAGTGTGACATTAGCCATGACTGTGACATTTTATATTGTTACTTATCCAGAATCTATGTTGCCGCCGATAATTTAAATGTTGAAGAATTATTTGTGTTTCTTTAATTAATTCCTCTTCCTCAAGCAAATTCAGACACAACTTGAAACGATATGAAGTCTACCTTTCGTAGACAGAACTTTACTGGTTTCAAGCTCTCATTTCTGCTATACAAAGCTCACATCTCTCCCCTTTGGTGGAAATAACCTGCCAGCTTTGCAGCACATCTTTCGTCTCCTCTCCTCTCTGTTTGGTGGAAACCGGGCCTTAGTCCCGGTTTACATTTTGAAAAATGCGATTGGCAAGTGCAACTGCCAAATGACCAGGGCTTAGTACGTGTAAACAGGCAGTGACAAGTGCTAAGTGTAAATAAAATACGCACTAAGCACTTGTCGTTTGTCAGTTGCACTTCCCTTTCACATTTGTCACTTCTTAAAATGTAAACCGGGCCTTAGTCCCGGTATACATTTTGAGAAGTGCGATTGGCAAGAGCAACTGCCAAATGCCAAGGGCTTAGTGCGCGTGAACAGGCAGTGACAGTAAGTGTAAATAAAATACGCACTAAGCACTTGTCGTTTGTCAGTTGCACTTCCCTTTCACATTTGTCACTTCTTAAAATGTAAACCGGGCCTTAGTCCCGGTATACATTTTGAGAAGTGCGATTGGCAAGTGCAACTACCAAATGACCAGGGCTTAGTGCGTGTGAACAGACAGTGACAAGTGTAAATAAAATACGCACTAAGCACTTGTTGTTTGTCAGTTGCACTTCCCTTTCGCATTTGTCACTACTTAAAATGTAAAGCGGGCCTTAGTCCCGGTATACATTTTGAGAAGTGCGATTGGCAAGTGCAACTGACAAATGACCAGGGCTTAGTGCGTGTGAACAGTCAGTGACAAGTGATAAGTGTAAATAAAATACGCACTAAGCACTTGTGGTTTGTCAGTTGCACTTCCCTTTCACATTTGTCACTTCTTAAAATGTAAACCGGGCCTTAGTCCCAAATAACGAGCTAGCGACATCTGATAAGCGTCAGATTATTATCCCTCGTTAAAATTAGTGGTGGGTTGTTGTCGAATTATTGACGAACGAAACGCAACCGTTTTCCCGACGACGAAAACTATTGCAGATAACGGTCTTTGTTGCAACTTTTTTGCAGACGGCTTAAAGGACGAAACTTATCCAACATGGAACAGAATTGCGTTTTCGTCGCGTGAAATGGTTGTAGTTTCTTACAACTATCAACGATTTTCGACTTCACTAACTTTTGTAAACGAATGCGGAACCGAAGACTATAATAAAACGCGGAACGTTAAGGACGACGATGAGGCGAGTTAGACAGATAGTTGAATCATTGCATTCTCGACTGTATTTTCATAGGCTTAAAATAAAAAATCGCATGGAGTAATTCGAAGGCTGGTTTTTGCAACGAAGACTGTCTGAACCCAGGTCATAAAACAGTTACATCGTCGCAGAACACAAAACGGTCTTTGTAAACGGTTCGTCGTCGCAACGCTCACCCCTACTTGAAATGCCTTTTATTGAGCTGACTAAATGTAAGCTTTTCTATTGGAAGTCATTTAAAAAATTGTATCACCGCGTTGTGTTATTTTGGTTACGTCAGTACGTCTACTGACATAACCAAAAATAACGCAAGTGGTGCTATTATATGATAAATTTAGCTTTTAACTTATATTCTCTATATGTACGGAAGAATTATATATAAAAATATATAATTCTTCCGTACATGTGTTTGCCATTGAACTCCCCCCCCCCCAAAGCCGGACCGATTTGACTATTTTTTTTTGGTATGTTTTAGTTGGGTCTCTGGATGGTTTAAATTCCAAATTGGACACGGTAGGTGACTCTGTTGTAGGGCGTATCGCTGGTATTGTACATATTATGTTAGTGTTTGAGCTTACTCCATTCTAAAAGGCCGGCAACGCACCTGCAATTCCCCTGGTGTTGCAGTTGTTCATGGGGGGCGGTATTCACTTACCATCAGATGAGCCGCATGCTTTTATACGTGGTAGAGCCACACTGCAGTTATTATGGTTGTAGCATGAATGGTTTGGCTCAACCGGTGAAGGACCACGCTGTCACAGAATACCAGCGTAAAATAGCAGCTTAATACTACTGTGTTTCGTATGGTGAGTGTAGAAAACCAGAGACCCTTTTTACTGGAAACGAGGCATTCCATCTTAGTACTCAGGGGTGACAACGCATCTGCATTTTTGATTCTTAATAGAGGATAATTATAGATGTCTACGTGCCACAGCATCCACTTACCATCAGGTGGACTGTGTGCTCGTTTGTCACCCTTATCCTATATTAGAAAAAAAAAACATTTCATCGTCGCAGTCTGTAAAAGTTCATTGCTGAACATGAACCTCTGTAGTTGTTGGGAACATTTTTCATAATCACCACGCTTGATAGAGGGGGATTTATCAATCATAGTATCAAACGTGAGCAACCTTGACGATGTTTGTTACCGTCGCAGTTTCAAATCAAATTCAAAATATATATATATCATCAAAAAACGTATATCCAATATTCATTGTTGGAGTTGCCTAGTAAGCATATATATGGGTCAATCAATTATTCTTTGTTCCCATCCATGTCCTCATTACAAAAAAATAAATATCTGCAAAATATGCAAAACCTTTTAATATTTTATTACTGTACAGATAAAGCTAGAATAGATAGCTGTATTATCTAATATAAATTCGATCTAATCGATGGCAAATTATTTTAATTTTATTGGTAACTTCGGGGACCTCATCACTATCTTCATATAAAATCTCATTGTCCCCACTGGCTATGTTGTAAATCGTTATCGCATTCTTTTAGAAATTTTATATAGGAGCATACCATTAACGGCATATTACAATTATATAATAGTTTTCCTTTAATATTTTCAATAAATCATACTAGAATTAAGCAGAATAATATATTTTTATTAATTTTACAAATCTTGTCCCCAATTTGATACTAAAATCAATGTCCCTTCAGTGACTATTCTTGTATTACGTACATGAAGTCATAGATGGCTCTAGTTGTGATTAATCGAAGCATTGACTTACTGGTACTCGTTTCACATGATTCCGCCATTTTGATTTTTAACCAATCACCGCTAGTTGCTAGTTGCCCGCGTGGCGTATGATAACGTGTATGTGTTTATTCGGTGTCCCCAGAGTTTCAACGTAAAAATTGGTAAGTACTCTTTAATACAGTGCAATAATTGTCATGGATTACATTAAATACGTCTGTTTTTCATTTGTAACAATCAATTCTGTATTATTCTTGAGAAAAAGTATTATGATTAAGTTATAACCTATAAAAGTCTCCTCCGTTACCGGTCCCTTGAGTTACTGTAAATGGTAACTTAGGGGACCTAATGGTAACTCGGTGGACATTTATCGCTGCATTATTTGAAGTTGTTCTATTTCTAACCGCCTTTGTGAAGCCGGGTCGGTCGTTAGTAGTAAACACAATTGTTTTTGTTACAGATATCATAAACATGGCTCTTACAGCGGCTGAAAAGCAAAAACGATATCGGGAGAAATTAAAAAAAAGATCCGCTAAAATATAAAGAAACTAAAAAAAAGCAAAGAACACACTATCACAAAAATAAAAGACTGATTAAAGATTTATCCGCTAAGGAGAAAAGTAATGCACGGACAATTTGGAAGCTTCGTAAACGCCAACAACGTCAACGCAAAAGAGCGCTTGAAAATGTAATTAATATTACACCTCCCGGATCTCCTGCACCACAACGATTTGACAAAGAGCAAATATTGCTTCGAAACCAAGGAATAGTTTCCCCTGTGAGTTCAAGTACAAGTAAAGTAAAGAGAAGAAGGAAAGCTGTAAGAAGAGATAGAACTAAATTATTTATATAAAAACAAAAGCTCCAAAAGGAAAACGAAAAACTAAAACTCAAGTATGAAAAATACAAGAAAAGGTTTTATCGAATTAAAAATATAAACCAGGAAGAATTTAATAATACAGACTCAAAGAAATATAAAATTTTAACAGGCGCTATTAGTCAAAGATATAAGAATATTAAAAAAATGGCTGAAAAACGATTATTTAAACGAATATTCATTGGCTCTACAGTACGTGAATCGAGAGTAAAGAAACAGTTGTTGAAGGATAGTTTGAATTTGGTAGGAACAATGAGATCGAGTTTAAAACGAAATAAAGGTAAGACAGATTTGCAAAACAAAATTAAGAATTTCTTTAAGCGAGATGATGTATCGAGAACCACAGCAGGTAAGAAAGAAACAGTCACGAAAGATAAACATAAAGTCCAAAAGAGATATCTTTTGGATAGTATGAAGAATCTCTATAAAACCTTTAAGCAAGGAAATCCAGATATGAGATGTTCTTATTTTTATTTTACCAAAAATCGGCGCTGGTATATAAAAGTACCATCAGTCGATGAGCGTGAGATGTGCCTGTGCAAAATTCATTCCAACATAATGTACAAGGCAATAGCATTACATGGTAAACGTATACTGGAAACTAAAGATTTGAGTGAAATAATAATGTACACTGTTTGTGATTCTACGAATAAGGACTGCATGTATGGATCTTGTCATGAATGTAAAAGAAAGAACCTTAACTATGACAAAACAAAGATTAAAGGTAAAGTGTATTTTAGCGAATGGATTAGAAAAGAGGACAGATATATTAAACACGGAAAACACATTAAATCTATTAAAAATGTGAAAGAAACTAAAGAAGTAGAAATAGAATATTTAATAAAAGATTTCGAAATAGAGCTGATTCTACTGAAAAAGCATGTATATAATATAAAAACTCAATACAAAAACTTTAGACGCTGCATCGACGAAATGCAACTACACGAAGCCACCATTCTAGTAGATTTTAGCGAAAACTACAACTGCAAATATAATGAGGAAGTACAGGCACATCGCTTTGGTGGCAGCAACTTTCGCTCCACACGGTTATGGTTTACATGGTCAATTTGGACAAAAAAAATATTGCTGAATCTTTTTGTACCGTATCATCTCATACTCTGCATCAGCCTGCTGCAATTTGGGCGCATTTGCATCCTATCTTGCCGGCCACGGCAAAGGACCCGCTGACGGCATTGGTGGTTTTTTAAAACGAACAGCAGACGGTATTGTTGCCAGAGGGAAGGACATTTCAAATATTGAACAATTCGTTAGTGCTTTGCAGGGAACGAGCAAGATTATACTGTATGTAATAACTAAAGAAGATATCGAAAATATTTCAAAAGAGCTTCCAAGAAACATTACAAGATTACAAGGTACTTTGCACATGCACCAAGTGTTCACTTCCAAATACGGTGAATTAATGCATCGTACGTTGAGTTGTTTTTGCGAACGGGGATTTTGCAAGTGTTTAGAACCTAAAATTTACCATCCTGTTCCTCTGGTATCAACAACAACTGCTGATGCATCAGTCGACAATGATACTGCGATGGTGATTCCTTCATCTCCTACGGATACAGCAGATGCTAGTGGTGCATGTGGTGATAATAATATCGTTAACACTCTTTCGTCTTCTATGTCTTCTGACGATGATGTATCTCTTAACAGAATCAAATCGAGGTGTTCCGGAGCTACAGTAACTACTGCTAGCAAAGCACTAGCAGAAATAAACTACACAGACTTAGCCAAGGACGCGGGTAAACGAGGAGCTGTTTACGATATGGTTTACGGTTCCATAGACGCATCTAATGAAGAAAATCAGCCTACGACTTCTGGGAATAATAAAATGCTGCCAAGTAACGGAGATTTCCTTTTAGTAAGCGTCCACGCTGGTAAGAATAAAACTTATACTTACGCAAGCCTTGCACAAAGTGATCTCGAAGACGATGGCGAGATTAAAGTGATATTTCTCCGGGCATACAAGGGTGCAACTAAGTTTAAATTAGACGAAAACGATATAGCGTTTGTTGAATTTAATGATATTATAAAAATTCTCCCTAAACCAAAACAAATAATTAAGAACGGAAAAGTCTATTATAATTTTCAAGAACAATTAGACATTAACGAAAAATAATATTTTATTACTCATTATTACAATGATAATATAAAATTACTTGTTTAGACTTATAGTACATAATATACTGATTAGAAGACTGATATTAAAGAAACTATTGACTAAGATTTTACTGAGCCTACCTATGTTACGTTAATAGTAAACCTTTATATTGACCATGTTACTAAAGAAAATAAGTGATATTAAATATGTAGTACAAAGATTAAGTAACATTTAAAAATAACTTGATATTGTTACTGGTTCAAATTAATTATATTTATATTATTAGAGGGCATTTCGTTTTTTTTTTAATTTTTAAAAAAATTCTTGTTAAGTTTATTTTTTATACTTTCTTATTGTGTTACGTATCCATAATAATGTTCGTGATAAATAAACCAATTTTGAGGATATAATAATATGTCTATTAAGTTACCGAAATGTCTCTGAAGTTACTGATTTGTCCCTAAAATTTGAAAAGATTCATTGCAACTGAATCATATGAAAAAGTATTTTCTTACATCACAATTATATTTACGAGAATTGGCAAAGTAATGACTTCACACATCTTGAAAAGCTAGTTTGAACATTAGTGACTTTGAACTTAAATATTAAAAATTATTTCTCAAAACATTGAAAAGTAACTTAAGAGACGCAATAACATTGTATAAGTTTGTTATTATCGTAAGTCTTCTTCTGATATTTAATTTGTTGGGTATATATTTCTTAGCATTACTTAATACACCGATTTTCTAACAATACGAGTGTGGATTGAAAAGTACTCGGCCTAACACAGATTCATTCAATTCTAAAAATCTAATCTACCCACATTATTTAGTTCAGTTCAGACTAGTTCATTGTGTGAAGTTCGAAACGTGTGCGATAATTAGTTGTGATTTTATAAATTTATTAACAAAGTAATCGGACATAATTTCCGCGAATGGAGCAAATCGAGCAGCGTGCCGTCATTAAGTACCTCCATAAGAAGGGGCTATCATCAAAAGCCATCCATGATGACATGGTCAGTACATTAGGCGATTGTGCTCTGTCATATTCATCCGTCAAAAAATGGATAGCAGAATTTAAGCGTGGTAGAGAGAGTGTGAAAGATGAACCCCGCTCTGGAAGGCCTTCGACGACAACTACTGACGAAAATATTAAAAAAGTACTTGATTTAATAATGGGAGACCGCAGATTAAAAATTAGAGAGATAGCCGAGATTATAGGGATCTCTTATGAACGAACTCAAAACATCATTGTCAACGAGTTGGGTTTCCACAAGGTGTCTGCGAGGTGGGTTCCGCGACTGCTTTCAGTTGAACAAAAAAAGGACGCGATTGACTATTTCACGCGACTGTTTGGAGTTATTTGACGCCGATGCAGATGATTTTTTGAATCGTTTTGTTACTATGGACGAAACATGGGTTCATTACTGTACACCGGAAACAAAACAACAATCAAAACAGTGGAGAAGACCTGGTTCACCACCCCCTAAAAAAGGCTAAGTCGATTTTGTCGGCAAATAAGGTGATGGCTTCAGTATTCTGGGACTCGAAAGGTGTGATTATGATTGATTATCTTGAAAGGGGTCAGACTATAAACTCTGATTACTACTGCACCTTACTACGTCGTTTACGAGAGGAAATAAAAGAAAAACGTCGAGGAATGCTAAGAAGAAAAGTCCTGTTTCATCAAGATAACGCCCGTGTTCACACGTCAGTACAGTCAATGGCTGAAATTCACAACTGTGGCTTTGAACTGTTACCGCATCCGCCGTATTCACCTGATCTGGCACCATCAGACTTCTTTCTGTTCCCTAACCTAAAAAAGCACTTGGGAGGTCAAAGATTTTCGACAAACGACGAGGTCAAAGCAGCTGTAGACGCATATTTTGACTCTAAGGAAGAATCATTTTTTTCAACGGTCTAAATGCTTGGAAGGGGAGGTGGCAAAAGTGTATTGAACTTGATGGTGATTATGTAGAAAAATAAAAATATAACTGATTTAGTATGTGTTTATTTTCTTGGTTAGGCCGAGTACTTTTCAATCCACCCTCGTATGTAACTGTTTTATTCGAATGAAAACCATATATCAGTAAGTAACACAGGGGACGAAAAACACGAACAATAACATTTTAAATTCTGAAAAATATGTTTTATTATTAAAAACTTGCACTGCTGATAGCTTAGTTTTAATTTTCAATATACTTACTTTTGATTGCTCAGGTAGAATTTAGAATTAATTTACACTTTTATTTTTTAATTTATTTTTTGAATCGAATTGTTAGCGTACAAAGAATAGTTGATTGACCCATATATATATATATATATATATATATATATATATATATATATATGTGTGTGTGTGTGTGTGTGTGTGTGTGTGTGCGTGTGTGTGTGTGTGTGTGCGAGTGCGAGTGCGTGTGAGTGAGTGAGTGTGTGTGTGTGTGTGTGAGTGTTAGTGTGTGTGTGTGTGTTTGTGTGTGTGTGTGTGTGTGTGTGTGTGTGTGTGTGTGTGTGTGTGTATAACATTTATACTTTTGGCAGGCAGCTCCGCCCTTTCATGATGCTTACATACATTGGATATTTCGAGCTTCCTTAAATCCAGAATTAACATTTACAAAAGGAAACTATTGTTATAAATCAAATTTTTTGATTAGGGAACTTGAGCTGAAAACATTTTAAATTAAATTTTCTAATATTTAAGAACAGAGGTAATATGGAAGAGATAATATGACAGAGATATAATTACAACTGTCACATAGACCAGCGGCTGTAAAATACATATCATACAGCCACTAATTCACACTGAGAGAAGATCTTCTGTGTCATATAACTTAGTGGCTGCAACCAATCAAATTATTTATTTTTACAATATCTTAATTTTAAAAGGTATATTTCAACGATTTTATTAATTTTATTACATAGGTGAGCTGATTGTGTCGTTTAGCTGATTTTGTTTAGTTTAATTAGTTGTTTGAATGCTTTTTTTTCTTTATTTATAGAATAAGTGTGACAAACGAGCGCACAGTCCACCTGAAGATAAGTGGATGCTGTGGCCCATAGACATTTACATTTATCCTAAAACCATCATCTCTCACTGATAACTATAACCCTACTTTCTGTAAATGGTAAAATAAAATGACTTTGAATAAGAATTGCATATGATCTACAGTGAATAAAAAATTACTCTATTCCATTCATCAATCCTCGATTAAGAATCAAAATGCAGATGTGTTGTCAACCCTGAGGACTAAAATGGAATGCCTCACTTCCAGTAAAAAGGGTCCCCGGTTCTCTACACACACACCATATGAGTAACCATTCGTACTACAATCGTAATATAGCTGCAGCATAGTTCTACCACGCCATAAGAGCATGCGGCACACTTGTTGGTAATCGATTACATTCGCCCATGAACCGCAACATCAGAGGAATATCGGTTGCGTTGTCGACCATTTAAAAAGGAGTCTGTACTTTCCCTGTAGGTCTCTAAGTAGTATTCAGTCTAGAAAACTGCTGGTGACAGTAAAGACCAGTGCGGTCGTTGGTTATTGGAAACTTTGAAGTACAGTGGTGGAATGATATGATCATAAAAAATAAGAAATTTTCTATTATTTTATTTTATCATCATCACTATCAGAATAATGTAGATTTAATGCGATAGAAGACTTGTCAACCGTCTCCTCGGCTGGATTTGTCCATAACTCCAAAAGACCACTGTCTAGTTCCTCCTCCTCAAATGCCTTGAATATCTCTTCTTTATTGAACTGGTCTTTCCCCTTTATATATTTCCTATTTTCTACGATTTTATAATCATCAGGTACAGATTTCAATTTATTCCAAATGTGGGAAATATCTTCTATGGATGAAACTTCAAAATGCTTCCTTTCTAGTTTGTAAGATTTACTCCATTCATCTAGGCGTTGACAACTGTCGTCCTCCATAAAAATTTCCAAGTGCTCAGGGAATATAGTGTGGCAAGTTATATCGCCTAGTGAATTTTGCATCAATATGTCAAATTTGTCGTCCCGTTCTATGATGAGATTTCCGGTGATAGCTGTGTGGAGTCTTCCATCTATAGGATGGTATAGATCGTAACATAGGAGCTGCTGTCGGGCAGACTTTAAAGTGTTTAGTATGCTTGGAGGACGATATGGTACTGTCACAGTAATTCCATCGGATTCTTTCGCTACTGCGTCATTGCTGCTGGGTACAACACACATGTCCTCGCACCACTGGCTACTAAGGCAAATTAAATCTTTATTAAACTCGAAGTTGCATTTTGATATGTATGTTGGAACACACTGCATGCCATGAGTCCACCTATTGACAGGTTTGGGTTTATGCTTATTTAAGTATCTCAAATCCATAAGAAACAGATGGTGATCTGTGCCAATGTACAAAGACTGTCCTTCTGTCGGTATGGCGCAACTAATATTGTTACATCCAACTTCATCTGTAACATCTCGGAGATTTTTCCATAGATAAATGACATTGTTTGATCTTTTATCGTATAAAGTTATGTTTTCTGTAGAAACATGAGTGTAAAATCCTCTTTCGGAGCCTAGCAGTGTGCTCCAATTGTTAGTGAGATGTCCTTTTGATTTTAATTTGACACTTCTTCCAGTCATTCTATCTAAATTTACAATAGTCAAATTGTTGTCAAAGGTAGTCACATACAGAATGTTTTTATGATAATCATCAAATGATATACTTGTATACGGTGTTTCAGAATCTGCGGACTTAATTTTTTCAAACTTAATTTCGTCGTCATTTAATAGAATTTTTAATATAAATACTTTCTTCTTGGTTCGCAAAGCTACTATATTCTGTGAGGAATGGATTGTTTCTAGGATGTTCATTTCTTCACCGCAGTCAAATGTGGCCTCAGGGCTTGATTTTATGGTCAAATTATTCTTGTCGAATTCAGATAAATCTGTGAAAAGAAACATAATGAATCAATTATACGCAAAAATAACGCACGTTTTGTACGTGGTAGAGGCATGCTGCAGTTATATTAGT